AAAACTTAATATACTGTTCTTGTTTCTAGTTATAAGGATAGGAGAGATTTTACACTGTAGACTAACTGCAGTTTAGCATTAATGAGTAATGTGTTTGCTGAAAGGAAACAAGACAGTTCGGACTTCTGAATCTACTGTACACCTTTCCGCCGCTTTTGAGGGTTACACTGTGCCCTTTACCAGCTCAACTAGGAACATATTGCCTCCACAAAGTCCTCCACACTACACTTACCTGAGAAGCATACGAGAATGTTACTTAATGGTAGGCACACAGACTAGACAGGAAACCTACCAAAGCCACCTTTCCAATCTCAAACTTACTGTCAAGGCAGGTCTTTGTCCCCCCTCACCCACCCACCAGATTACCTCTTCACTTGAACAGGTAGGTAGGTGGTCCCTTACTAAGGAAGGAATACAACTAAGGTGCTGGCACAAAGAACGTTTCTTCCTTACCACTATACGTAGAAATAGAGATTATTTTGTTTTAGAAATATTGAAATATATTTATTTTGTTTTAAAGAATGTAGAAAATTTCTTGTTGTGAGTGGTATGAAACCAATGTATCTGTTTTCATTCTTATTTTACCCATGAAGTTCTATTACGAGGCAGTGTGCTAGCTGTCTTTCTCCAAGCACTGTGTCCTCTTGTGGTAGAGCAACCAGGAAGAAAGGGGACCGTGCATTGGTATTAATGGTAACTGGCAAATTCTTTGCAGTAGGCTCTTTATGGTTAGTTGACATTTTGTCAACCCAACTGTCAGAGAGTACATAGCACTGAAGCCATCCAATGTGGTTCTTCAGGGCATAGCTGAGCCACCTTTGGTTACCTGGCAGCTGTGGGACTGCAGTTTGCTGAAACTACAAGCTTCGCAAACTCTGTTGAGACAGCACTGGTTGTTCAAAGTTACTCTACAACATTCAACCATAGATTGTCATGATGATCTGAGCCTTTCAAACACATTTCCTATCCTGGTTGCTCTTCTATTTCTCAGTCAGACTTAGTAAGTGATTGTGATTGCGTGTTTCACTGTCTAAATTTTGTCAGTCTTAGGTATACAGTATCTGTTTGTTTACATTGAGCAGTGAGTAAAAAAGCTGTATGTCATGTGACATCTGTCAGTGTGGTGCAAGGAGACAAATCCTTAATGAGTATTACAGTGCTTTAGATGTCTGTTTAATTATTTCTGTAGCTTAAATGTCTGTTTTACGTATAGAAAATGGGAAATAGTGTCTCAAATGCTTAGTTTATCTTATGATGTACATATGTATGTTGTATTTGACAATCAGGGTTGTAATTTCAACTGGATGTAACATGCACAAAATCTATATAGGTAAAAACATGTTGATAATGAGTGTATATGTACTTGCTGGGCTTTAAACCAGGCAAATACCATTTCTTCTGTGTATTTTTGGTGGACAAATCAGAAAGTCTTGAAGATGATTGGATTAAATGGGATTGGGATTCATTACAAATGATGAAAAATAGAAATGGAGGTCGCCATTTCATGGGCTGAGCCAATATATAGTTCACCAGAATTAAGTGTCATCAATATCGGTACAGCTTACATTATGACTGCCTCATTTGTAGGTGAACAGGTATTCATTTGTATTCATTGTATTTAATGTATTTGTTTTGTTGGAATTTTGAGGAGTTATTTCAATTAAAGCAGAACTCTAGATATATAAAAACAGTGGTTAGCCCAGTTATGTTTTCATCTAAATTATTAAATATACTATACGAGTAATGTTGATATGCCTAGTACAGTTACTGAATTACTAATTAAATTAAATCTATGTTAATCCTTTTCATCTATCACAACTGTGCACCGCTTATAGACCAGAGCAACTGCTACATTTCTGCTATGGGCCAATTGATTTGGTAATTAATTTTTCATTAATTACAATAACAGAGCAATATTTTTTTTCTTTTTAGGAGAAACAAGGGTTTCTTTTGGAGATATTATTTTACACAAATATATATATTTTTTGTACAATCCATGGTCAAAAAACATAAAACTAGTTTTTAAAAGAAAAAAATGATTACTGTTACTGTAGATAGGAAGTATACATTATTTTCTATAATTTGTCCCTTTTTAAATAAATTAAAATTATGATTTTTGTACACAGCATTGCAAAATTATTTACAAATGAAATCAAGTGTTTTTTGTCTTTTAATTTTGCACTTTTTTATTAAGTATTAAAATATCAGCAGGAAAATAATATGGGGAAAAGGAGAAGAAATTGATTAGGACTGATTAGTGTAAACTAAGGGATAAGTAGGAACACAAACACTTTTTCTTTTACCTGTCAGGTTGCATTTACTGACATATGCAGACTCAAGGTCATCCCTTTGATGTCCAGGTGAATAAAACAGAGTAGGTACAAAAGTAACAATGTTACTTTGTATCTCTAAAACTCATACCTATACTGAACAGTATTTAAAAGTTGTCTTTTGACACTTCTGTATTTCCACAGCAACTCTCTGCTCTTCGGGGGACGTATATAATATGCCCAGTATCCACAGCCAGTTATATTAAATCAAATCTGTTACTTTGTCCTTTCTTGGTCAAATTATCAGGTTTTCTGGATGGCAGGTAAGGTAAGGTTATTTTCCAAGTACTTCCCATTGCCCTATTCATCTGCTGGAGCTCAAAGAACAACCTAATACATGTATCGGGAAAACCTGACTCTCTCCCCTACCACCCACAGTACAGCACTCTGTCACTAGACCAATGCACTTATGTTAGTGGTGGGGGACAATCCTTATCCCTGTATAAACGTACACAGCAAATTAGGGGCCTCTGACCCATAAACCCGTTAGTTTTCCTAGTATGGGCGAATTACAAGTAAGCTTTAAGTTCTCTTAATCCCCTGTACACCAGGAATCAGGCTGAGAGTGGTGTGCCAGCACTGTGATCTATTCATAATCTATTCGATTGTGCTGTGCTGCAATTGTTAACTTGTTTTATGCACATGGGCCTGAAAGTGGTAGATGTGTGTTTATTTTACACATTTATATAATTCTGACAAATTTTGCAGCTAATTGAAATTGAGTAAATATCCTTACTACAGTAAAAAAAGGCAGACTGGTTTGGCCGAAGTTCGGATTGTTGGAGCAAACTAGAAATCCTCATGTGAGCACAGGTAGAACACCAGATGGTGTTCTACCTGGCCTATAGGAGTTGTAGAACACACAGTAGTGTTATCAGTGTGGTGATGCACAGTGGTGTCACTCTAGATATAATGCGAATGGGACATGTGAATCAGACAATTGAATGAACAGAAATACAAATATTTTGGCAAGTGAAATAGCTCACATATAGTCTATGTACAGTATTTCTCACTGTGTATTCGCTGTGTAATTCTGCTTTAATAGAAACTCCAACATGTTTGTATTTTGTGAAATTGTTCTAGTATTGTTTATCACCACCTCACTTTAAATCTGCCCACACTGGTAGAACAGCTATTACTCAATCTGGCATATCTGAGCCTTCCAGGCACAATCCTGCTGGCCAGCCAGTTGGCTGGAAAAACATATGAAAAGATGTTTGGGAATGTATGCAAAGGTAAACACTTGTTATAATGAGTCAGATAGGATTATCTGGTGGTGATAGACTGAACAATGGCTTGTAAATATCTACATTATGGGTTTGTCTCTTTGACACTACTCGCATACACTGTGTACTTTAGTTGGGGTACATATACATTTATTGATAAAGTTTAATAAACGGAGAAACTTGCAAATATTTTGTGTATGTGTTTTTTTTCTTTTATAAACAAACTCAACTAGTTATGAGCACTTACTAGGCAAGAAACTTGGCTACAAAGGGTCCTTGTCAGGTATGTAGTATTCACTTAACAAAATACAGTATGTGAAGATAAAGCAATACTTTATTTAACTGGAACAACAAGTGAAATGTAGCCAAAAAAGCCTGAAAAAAACAACTAAGGCCTCTTTCACATGGGATTTCCGATCATTTTTATATCAGTCCTCCCAGCATTAACCTTCATTATAAGATCACCTTCACACAGGTACAAGAGGGTGGTTGTTGTCAGCATGGCCACCACAGAAGATTCTCCTCAGTGCCAGGTCCCAGGCTTTGTGGCCAATGGAAGAGATGCAGGATGCACTTTTCCATCTCATGAGAGCTCCATAGAGGACCGTGTGGCTTTTGGCATTGACACCTCTAGCACTCAAATTTTTAAATAATGGGTGACGTTATGTTGAGCGCAATGTTGGAGGCTCAGTGTGAGGGTTATGATTTTGACCGTTATCTTCATTGAATGTTTAAGTTTAATGTTTAGGGTTCAGGTTAACAGTTTAGAGTTTAAATAAAAGGTGAAGGTTGAGTTTTAAGGCTAGGGAAAGTTAGGGTGAGGGTTAAATGTTAGAGTCAGAATAATTATTATGGCCACTGTATATTTTAACCTGTTTTTGGCACCGAAATCCCCACAGGCGAAGAGGTGATGACCCAAATATTCATCAATAGAACTATACTGCTTATGCAAGACAGGAATTTATATCAGAAGTTGTGATTGTATTGTAAAATTAGAAAGGCTTTGGCACTCATCAAATGAGCCTAATATCTTAAATGCTAAGATTCTCCAGAGTACCAAGGCCACCTATACAGCCAGATTACAATTGTTGTGCGAATACAATCTTTTTTGCCTCAATCTCATGGCTATTACAGTGCAGATGACCTGACAGCACTGATGATGATACCACCACGGCACTCGGTAATGACTTATTACACAATTGTTATATTTGGAATTCTTTAGTAACACAACTTAGTTTATTCTTCCAGCAAACAGAAGTCATATAACTATGTGTATGCATAGCCAACTGTAATATATTAACTAACAAAAAAGGTAAAAAATAAGATTGCTAGGTAAGCAAAGGATTATAATTGTTCATGTTCAGTAAATTGTATATACAGACAAATTTACTGCAGAGCTGAGTTGTCTCTTATCTTGATGAATGTTTCTTCGTGGATCGTCACCAATTGTGTTTTAAAAGGCGCATCTGATGCATCAACAGTCCCAGTGTTATACAGCTTTAGCTGTACCTGAAAAACATTAAAAAAAATATTAACATAAAAAAATAAAATACTAGCTTTGAAAACACGTTAAAAATAATCAGTAATAACAGCCAGAAAGGACACAAATTGTTTTATAGGTTTTCTAGATTTGTTGCATCAATGTGTCTGCAGCCAAGGTTGACCAAATGGGGCATGCTAAGAAATGTGCGCTATAGTGTCTGGACATATTCCAGGTAAATGCTTGTGTGGGATTTTATCTAATTTGTTGGGGCCATTGTGCCATCTGTTAGCCAATTTGCATGTACATTTAATACAGAAACAAGACTGCATCTGCCCCTACATCTAATGTAAACACAATTATCTTTATAGCATTTCTCACTGCTTTTGTACATTTCCTTTTAGAAAGTCACAGGGGTTCTTAAAACCTGAATATGGGCTTTAGGATTTTAATAGCCATTGTAATAAATAAGGGGAACTTTTCAATTTGGCTGCGGATGGAAGATCAGATTTTTTTCAAGAGTTGTAAACAGCAGTAATGAAAAGCAAAGTCTGAAAACCTAGAGCAACTAAACAGAAATGATTGTGATTCTAAGTAACTGCGTTCTGCACACCATTTCTTCACAATTCTCTCATCGGTAAGCTTGTTTGTATTGTAAAGGTAAACCATATAATGATGTCTTGGCTTTCCATATTAAGGAAGCAATGGTTAACAGTAGATCACACCTTTTTTCATCATGAAGTGACCTTCTGTGATTGTGCCATTCGAGTGGCAGCAGTGAGACAATTTTGCTTGGTGATATTACTATTCTGCTCCAAAGCAAAAAAAAAAAAAGCCACTATCACTATCTTCTCTCCGCAAGAACCTTTGAACTTCAGGTGAAAGATTAGAGTAAAAAAAGCCAAAGAAATCAAAAGTAATTGACTTTTTTATTGCATGTGACACATTTGACCTTGGTTATTAGGGAGTGCTATCAGCTGGGATTTCCATGGTATTATCAAGCCAATCAAAGGAGCCACATAGAAGAATGCTGTTAGATCAGGTGTGACTGACCTGCACATTATTGTTGTTAAAGAACTACACTACCCATAATGTACGGCCACCTAGCTGGATAAGCATTAGGGGGGCATGTATTGCAACAAGCGTGTGCATAGTCAAAGTGTTCTTCTAAAAAACAAACTACAATGGATTCAACACCCTTACATATAATTCACATGGCAGGTCAAGTGTCAGTGTAGCAATGCAAAGACCAATATACTGCTTTTAGAAAATGCAAATCTTTACTTAAAGGAGAACTATGACTTAAGGGCAAATAAAAATACCCCTTACCTTGATTGTAGTAGCATCGTTCCTTTTTTCTAAAGTCGCAGCACATCACAGATAAAACCCTCAAAACCTGTAGTAAATGGCCGTCTTCAACCCTGCTCCAAGCTCCTTTCCTCTTAGTGGGCGTTAACATTTTATCCAGCCCGCCCACTGTTTTTTTTTCAAATGATCTCATTGCTGTGGCCGCGCTTCCTCTCATCGTGCACAGCTGTGTTTTGTCAGCTCGTGCATGCTGGCATTTGTGAGCGGGAGGCGGAGTCTGAAGTGAGAAGGCAGCAGCAAGAGACGGACTCAGCCTCCCTGCACATTCAGTGCTCTTTCCCCTCTCTCATCAGTGATCCCCAGTAATTAGGATGTCAGCATAACACAGGGGGAGAGAGAGAGGATAAAGAGCCATCCCTCTCTCCATCATTTACCAGAAATGGGCAAGTCCATATATGGTGAATGATGTCACTGGGTATCCCTGCAGACTGGCAGGCAAGCATCCGATCAGCAGGGATCCCCAGTGACATCATTCATCATATATGGACTTGCCCATATGTGGTAAATGATGAAGAGAGAGAGAAGGCTCCTTCCCCTCTCTCTCTCTCTCTCCCTGCCCTGTGTGACGCTGACATCCTCAATTCACTGGGGTTCGCTGATGAGAGAGGGGAAGGAGCCCTCTCTCTCTCTTCAGCGTTTACTACAAATGGGCAAGTCCATATATGGTGAATGATGTCACTGGGGATCCCTGCAGACTGGCAAGCATCCGATCTGCCGGGATCTCCAGTTTACATCATTTACCACATATGGACTTTCCCATTTGTAGTAAATGCTGAAGAGAGAGAGAGGGCTCCTTCCCCTCTGTCATCAGCGATCCACCATCATTTTAGTATGTCAGTTTCACACAGGGCAGGGAGAGAGAGAGAGGGGGGAAGGAGCCCGGCTGGCACACGGGGACGTGCAGGTAAGGAGAGAGCTGCTGCGCAAGAATCACTGTCAGTCACAGTGAGGAAGATCAGTGGGGAGGATCCCATCAGATACGTCGGGATGTCTCCTCATTGCGGCGCTTAGCCCCGCCCACCACCATAAATAAGGGTTTACAGCCTTACTGTGCATTTTGGCTAATTAGAGTAAATTACATAATTTACTTATTTAGCCTAAGGAATGCATT